TTCTTAGTCTTAGTGAGGACACGGGCAGCAGCGTTCTGGATCAGCTGCAGCTGTCTGATCCACTTTTTAGGCAGACCTGTGAAAACATTATTGCAGTAATCAATTAGACTAAAAATAAATGCATGGATTAGTTTTTCCAGATCATGCTGAGACATTAGTCCTTTAATCCTGGAAATGTTCTTCAGATGATAGAAAGCCAACCTTGTAATTGTCTTTAAACGCTCCTGGAGGTTCAAGTCTAAATCCAGCACTACACCTAGATTTCAGGCCTGATCAGTGGTTACTAGCTGAAGCGACTGAAGCTGTGTGCTAACTTTAGATCTCTCCTCACCCTATCCAGGCATTGGTTTCTTCTAAGCATTTCCTCAGTGCTTGAATTGGTTCATAGTCACCTGGTGACATGGTGATGTAAAGCTGTGTGTTGTCTGCATAATTATGGTAGCTGATGTTGTTGTTTTTTATTAACTGAGCAAGAGGGAGCATGTAGATACTGAATAGGAGGGGACACAGGATGGACCCTTGGTGAACCCCACATGTGATTTTTGTCATCTCTGATGTAAAGTTGCCTACTGATTACAAAAAAGTCCCTGTCCTTTAAGTAGGGAGAGGCCGACCCAGTTTTCCAGGCGCTCTAACAGGATGGAGTGATCGACAGTATCGAATGATGCACTAAAGTCCAATAGTACCAGCACTGTGGTTCTTCCGCAGTCTGTATTTTAACGGATGTCATTAAACACCTTGATAAGGGCGGTCTCTGTACTGTGGCGAGCACGGAAACCTGACTGGAACACGTCAAAGCGGCTGGTCATACTGGTCAACAAAGTGTTTAATTGTTGAAACACAGCTTTTTCAATAATCTTACTGATAAAGGGGAGGTTTGATATGGGCCTGTAGTTCTGGAGTAGTAGTTTGTCTAAATTGTTCTTTTTCAGCGGGGGTTTGATATTTGCTGCTTTTAGGGACTGTGGGAAAACACCTGACAGAAGGGACGTGTTTATTATCTGAGTCAAATCAGACGCTATGACAGGCAAAACTTTCTTAAGTAAAGCTGTGGGTAGAACATCAAGGCAGCAGGAGGAGGAACTTAGCTGCTAAATGATTTCCTCTAAGCTTGTGTAGTTTATTTGACTGAATTGGGATATTTGGTCAAGATCAATTCCAGTTGTAGACAACTTTAGTACTGAACTTGATATGGATGTATTAACTGATCCTCTGATCTTTAGGATTTTCTCAGTAAAGAAATTAGCAAATTCATTGCAGGCCCTGGTAGAGTGGAGTTCAGGAGCCACGGGCACAGGAGGATTTGTTAACTTATGAATTGTGGCAAATAACGCACAAGTATTATAAATGTTTTTGTGAATGATTTCAGAGAAGAAAGATTCTCTTGCATTTTTCATTTGTAAGTTATATCTGTAAAAGTCTCTCTTTATAAATGTCATAGTGAACCTGGAGTTTCGTCTTTCTCCACCTGTGTTCAGCTATTCGACACTCCATTTTTTTCTCTTCTAACTGCTGGAGCACTTCTCCAAGGAGATTTTTTCTTTTCCGGAAAAGTCTTTCACTTTAATTGGAGCAATGCAGCTAATGATGTCTGAGACTTTAGACTGAAAGTTATCTAATAGTTCATCTTCTGAGTTGCAGCCCAAGGTTGAAGTAGCAGAGTAAGCTTGAGTAAAAGTTTCTGAGGCATTTTCCTTAAAGGTGCGTTTTCTTATGATATCCCTTTGGCTAAATGAGTCAATGGAAATTATGCCCTCAAAGGTAACAGAAAAGTGATCGGATAGGGCAACATCAGTAACTCTGACTTTAGAAATCTTCAGACCTTTAGTGATGATCAAGTCTAAAATATGTCCCTGTTTGTGCGTTGGTTGTTTGACATGTTGAGTTAAACCAAAGTTTCTAAGTGTGTCACACAGTTCTTTTGCACGTCTGTCTTCAGGGATGTCAACGATGTCAACAATAATTAAACAGTCATAATCAACGCATATCACAGACAGGAGGTCACTGAAATCATTAATGTGGACTTAGGAGGCCTGTAAACATTTAGAAACATAGTTCGTACCTGTCGTCAGTAGGGCAACAGTGGCATTGGGTGCAGGACTTTGCCCTGCAATAGTAGGGTTGTCGGTTCCAGCCCCAGTGTCATTGTGTCCTTGGGCAAGACACTTGACCTACATTGTCTACTGATGGTGGTCAGAGAGAACGGTGGTGCCTGTGTACCGCAGCCTCGCTTCTGTCAGTGAGCCCCAGGGTAGCTGTGGCTACAATGCAGCTTGCCACCATCAGTGTGTGCATGAATAGGTGAATGTAGTTTAAAGCACTTTGGTCAGGTCTCCAGCCTACACCTGTGATGTCTTGGTATATAGTAAATATATACATATCTATATATATCTATATCTATCTCTTTCTCTCTGTCTCT